AGCTAGGGAACGGTCTATTTGGTCCATATAGACCAAATATTTAATCAAGAAATCCCCCCCCACCCCCACCCTCCTCAATGGTGTCCCGCTTTAAATCTGGTCACCTTATTTTAAAGTGAAACAACTTTACAGTGGATCAAGGGGAGATCAAATGATAAGGTATTATTTTTTAACTTAGCTATATCTGCCATAATCAACTTTACAATTCCCCTTGTCTGATAACAAGGCTATTCACCAGTAATTTCTTTTTAAAGGAGAAACTTTAACAATACAAAAGCAAGATACCTGGCGCTCTGGCTGTACTGCCAGGTGAGCACTGGAGTGCTAGCCTCACGCCAGGAGCCTGTGTGAGGGCGAAGGGTTAGGCTAGGTTGTGGACTTGCCCAAGGATTTCAACTTGGCAACCCTACAGAGGGCTGCCGTGAGCCCGAGCCAACAGGACAGTGGGGTTGGGGATGTAACCTTAGTTTACTTTCACATTTATATTCAATCTTGGACATATTTATGGGAAAACTGAAAGTTTACTTAACCACTGAGATTTAAAAAGAAGGTTTCGGAACAGTCATTAAGGACATTGTTCTCTTTATAGCACATTTATTTGCCTTAGGGCCGCAGAAAGGGAGAGAGGCTGGAGCGCCTCCACTGTAAGAATTTACCGATAGTTCTCATCAAGCGTTTTTGTCTGTCAGAAGCAGAAACCTGAACTGCTCCATTTTAAAAAAATCAGAAAACGGAGTTTTCTAAATACCAGGAATAACTTCCTATTAGAATAATGCATGGTAATCGAGGCGGAAATAGAAATATATAAGCCACACGTGTCTAGTCGGCCTTCAAATCCCCCCTCTATGGTTTGGCTGCATGGGCGTCTTACACCACTCGACCCAGTGATGGTAATAATATTTGCTGTTTCTATAACACCATTCCTGAGGAGCTAAATTAGCTTCACAGGTATTGTATAATGAAACCTCACACCACGGCCTGGGAGAGGGGAGTGGAGACTTTCATTGATTAGAGAGGAAAATAAGAAGGTGAAATGGCTTAGCCACATTTTCATAGAAGGCCAGGCATCTAGCCTTCCGGATGCCCTATTTATTACTTCTTTTCAAAAATAAATTCCTTTCTATGACAATAAATATTTATTTGCAATAGAAGTACTAACAGGGACAGGCTCTAGTGGCTGATGGAATTTAGTGAGAGACAACTGCCCCCCACCCCCTCCATTGCCTCCACTAACTTTAGAATCTAAATAAGACAAAGGGGAGCAGGCGTGAACCCAGAGAGGGGAGTATAATTTGCACTGCTGAGAAGTGGTTGGCGCTTGGTTTCAAGTTCTTCTCTTGAAGAAGTCACATGCATATTTCATCCCTTGCATATTTTGGCAACGTGTCCAGCTAAGAACTATCAAGCTATTTAATTTTTTTTTTGATAAAGCGTTTTCTGTCTGGGTGATGGATTTGTATGTCAGTTACAGCCCGTAACATGGCTGTGTGTTCTGATTGACAGGACACCCACATTCAGACTTGTTTATTTTTTGATAAGGAAAATGCCAGCTAACTTAGTCCATATGTGCCCCTCAACAGGATGAAGCTTCTTCACGTGGAATCGATAGTCATTGGGGAAGAAAATGACAAGGAGTATGAGAAGAGTAATCCATATGAAAATTAGAATATTCTTCCTTCCTTTGCCTTTGAAAGAGCTTTTTAAAACATTTAATCACTACTTTTAAAGTATGTTTGTTTATTAACTTAACAAAAATTAACAACCCTGTGACATAAGCTTTTCATATTAAATTATTTTAGTCTTCTTGAAAGGAACAGATTTTATATAGCTATAGACCATGAGGGAAGCATAGCAAAGTAAACAAATATGTAAAGTATTTTGATTACATTAGAGAGGTACTAAAAATCTCAGGATTTGGCCAAGCCGCAATGGGATTCAGAAATAATTGCAAAGTGTATTTCTCAATATTTGAAAGAAAATGGCAGTATGTTTTCTGACGACTTCTGCATGACATTTTCTACATAACTGCTTTAGTTCTTTGCTGACATTAAGTAACAGCTGAGGGTCATGAAGAACTTTGAAGGACCTAAGATCCTTCTGACTTCCAAGCTCCTCCGTCAGTTTGCCACAGTGCTAAGGCGTCTGGGAGGGGTGTGCAAGTCCTGGATCAGACAGGAAGGGTTTTATTACGCATGTCAAAGCAAGCTGCTTGAAATTTATGTTTGCATCAGATGTTTTCCTCCATATCTCTCAGCAGTCATGGGAGTAGCCCAGGAACCCTGGGCTTAGGTAAACATCTTCTTCCCAGCACGGAGTAAAGAAGCTTGCTTACCCTGCTTCCTGCATCTCAGAGAACAGTTTCACTTTCCTGGGCAGTCAGGAAACTTGCTCTCTCCTCTGGAGGGAGACACACCTTCATTGCCCACAGCTATGTGTTATTCAGATAACTATGAACACGTAGCTTTGAGGACAAAGAAGAATGCTTCTGCTTTAAAAGCAGGGTGAAATTCAAGAGACCCATGGAGAATTATCTCCCAGGAAGCATTTTCATTAATGTTTCATATTATGATGCAAATTTGACATTTCTACTTCTAATATAAAAACTGGTTACTATAGATTTTCTCTGGTATTACACCTCTGGTGGTTTATCTCTTGACAGGGACTAGGGGAAAAATTGTCTAGGAAGAATTATTATACATTTTTCATGACCATGAGACACGGGATGGTTGGGACAAAGTTCCATAGCCACACCACTATAACTTGTATGCTTGTGCCTCGGCACATAGTAGGTGCTTAACACTTGTTAAGTCCAGATGTTCCTTGGATGGGACACTGTGGCTAGCCTACAGAGTGGTGAGGTTTGCAATGAAGCATGTTGGGTATGGTTTGGTGAGTGACAGACACACAAACAATGGCAGCAAGAGTAATGGCAATATCATTTCTTATTTTGTTCTTGTAGCTCATTCGAGAGATGTGTAAGCATTATTGTTTCATTTTATTGTAGCCTGCGAGAATGCAAATATGATTAAACACAAATGACAGAAGTAACTATAACTTGCCTAGAAGAATAAGTGAATTAACTTAAATGCAAGATTATACAGTGGTCAATAACTATAGGGATATAATTTTAATATTTTTATTGCCTTTATATGAGATTAAAACTATTCATATTTTACAAAAGAAGGATAAAAAATGGCGGTGCAAGCAGGCCTTAAAATGTCTCTCTTTTAAAATTTAATATTTGAAGCATGCAAAAAAATATAAAGTTGGAATATATAAGGCAGTCTTCACTCAAGTCCTATAATATTACCAATAACTTACAAATAAGTATTGCTCTTTTGCATCTCATGCCACCCTCCCCTCCTTCCAAGCTCTAACTATCATCTTGAATTACTGGTGCTTAGTATTTGTTCTTCATCTGAAACAGTTCCTCATTTGGCAGAAAAGAAATTCTCCTACCCTCAAGAGTATGAGATACTGAGCACAGAGCACCAACACGCTATAAAGGAGATGGGCAGCCGGTAATTAGTAACACACACTCATACTCTCAAAGGAAGCTGACACTGCAGCGCATGCAGGGCCTCCTGGGAAATACAGCGGCCCAGCTGCACTACTAGAGGGTTAAGACAGTGGTCCTCAACCTTCCTAATGCCACAACCCTTTAATACAGTTCCTCATGTTGTGGTGACCATCAACCATAAAATTATTTTTGTTGCTACTTCATAACTGTAATTTTGCTACTGTTATGAATCGGACGACCCCTGTGACCAGAGGCTGCGCTCACAGGTTGAGAACCGCTGCTTTAAGAGGCTGTGATTGGTTGTTTGAATAGCTCTATGGGTTAGCAGGGGTGCTAGTCTAGGTTGTCTAGAGAAACAAAACCAGTGGCACTCATATATGTATAAGAACGACTTTATATCTAGAAGTAATCTTACATCGAGAAGGCAACCCTGCCCAGCCCAATTTAAATTCCTGGATCTGATGCTACCCTCTTCAAACTTGCGTAGCTACAGACCTGTGGCACAGAAGGTGAAGTGGGATACTGGAGGATCGCATGCTGGTGGGTGCAGGGTCATGTGGATCCACGGTCAGTGGCATATGGGAGGATGCAGACAGCTCTTGGATGGGGTGCCCACATGGGGCTACCCCAGGAGGCAGGTACAGAGTCCCATAAAGCAGGAAAGTAAGATGCAGACACACAGAGAGGAGGAATCCCAAGTGCCCCTCTTATTAAAAAGCCACAACTCCCAGAAGGCATCATCAGACTGTGACCTGACTGACATGTTGGGCTCCACCCCTGCACTTTTATACAAATTCAAGTTGACATCAGTTCTAGCTCCCACAGAGGTACCCGAGGACTGGATAGCGAGTAGCTGTTCCCGATGGGAGGGGAACATTTCTCTGTGGGATGTGGCTCATGGTGGCAAGCAGAGGTACGCTGGGCAAATGAGGGTACACTTGTAACCTTCCTGGACCGTAGTTCAAGGCAGCCCTTGCCATTTTTTGCTTTTGTAATACAATAAGGGTGGATGTCTTTCTGTTTTCATTTCTTAAGCTGTTCTACTGGTGGATGTATATATATATTTCTTTTTAATGTATTTATGGGTTGGAACCACCTCAGTGGCACCTAATGACACACCATGTATTTAATTTTTTGTGGAAATATGCTAAGAATAAAGGATTCACAGCTGAGGTCCACACGTCCCTATTTTCAGGGAGATTCTATTTATCGGGCCATTCCAGTGGATCAGAGTACGCTGTGGAAGATTGACATTAGACAGGAATGTGTGGGTTGCTATAGCGCCCCGATTTGGTAGCAGCATCTCATTCCACTAGAGCACATGCAGTTTTCTAAAGCCTCTGTGGCAATCTTGGGGAAAGTTAGATAAAATAACAGATTGTCTTCAAATGCTTCGGTTCAGCTCTAAATTTCGTTGGCACTTACATATGACTTGGTTTATTTCATTAAGTGAAATCTGTTTCTTTTGCGTCCCGGGCAGAATGTCAAGGATGACGGGCAGCACGTGTGGAGACTCAAGCACTTTAACAAACCCGCCTACTGCAACCTCTGCCTGAACATGCTGATCGGCGTGGGGAAGCAGGGCCTCCGCTGCTCCTGTGAGTATGTGGGCTC